CTCTTATACACATCTAGATGTGTATAAGAGACAGGGGTTCCCCGTAATACTATAATGACAATAAAAAAGGCCTGAAAGGCCGTCCTGTCCAGATTTGTCAGGTAATTGAATTGGTTGGGCTTAAAAAATTAGCCTTTACATTTAAAAAAAAAAAAAAAAAAAAAAAAAAACGCAGCAAAACACGTACTCAAAAAAACAAAAGAGGAAAAAAAGGAACTAAGTCTAAGGGCCCCCGTTCCACCACTTTCGCTATATGTTAAATGGTGACTGTATCCTGGGCAAGAAGGCGGCAGGGCACATATATCCACCATTCTCAAATTTGCCGAGTGCTGGTACCAGGACCCAAGTGATAAGTTCCATAAGGATAAATAAAAATAAACAAGCTCTCGACTATTTATCACCGCTAATACCACCACTCGCGAGGCAAACGGAAATGGAATCGAGTGGTACCCTGCGCAAGAAGTCAGCAAGGTACATTCACTCCTCACATTTGGCGAGTGGTTGAACGATGACCTAAATTATAACCTCCATCGTGAGTCCAAAACATAAGGATTAATTACTCTAATACGTGAAAGTTGCCGATAATGTATCACTGTGACAAACACTCCCAACACAAACTGAAACGGCATTGACAGCGGTTTAAACCCACAGGCCCTACCGTTTACAACTACCGTCAGCGACGATGTGTCCCTGCCACTCGTTGGATATGGATATGGATCATAGAATGAATGGGTGGATATCTTCTTAATCAGCTGGGTGATCTCAGTGGAACATAAACAGTGCTCATCTTCAATGAATGAGCTCGCTTTTCCTACACATACAGTAATAATGGCCTGCACGGAATTTGCCGGCATCGATCGGTTCACTGAGCCTTCTCCGCGCACTACCCGTCTTCCCCGGAATAGAACGTACGGTCATGTTGGCTTTATTTGTTGCAACTTTCAGTCTAGATACCAGCGATTATGACCATGCGTTGTATTCGGGGGAAGACGGTACTCACCCACCAAAGTTGTTGTTGTATCTCTCGCAAGTGGGTCTTTCCCTCGATGCTGGGGAGGAGGGGGGAGAACAGTCGCCAGTTTTTGTCGTTGTCACATTTGGCGAGCGGTGGAGTGGGGGTCAATATCCATGGCACTGCACATCAGAACCGGAACCCAATCAAAGATAGCAAAAAAACAAAAAGGAACAGAAACCCAATCGAAGATAGTGCCAGATGTACCGACGGGCCTAGCTCAGTTGGTACACCCATGACCTGTTGAAATACAGTTTCAAGTTCGAATCCTATCAGATGAACAGAACAATATCAGTCTGACTTACCTGGGACCGGTCAGTTCAACGATGATATCGTAAGGCCGTCACCCTCCAGGTTGAAGGGCCAAAACACAGGGCCCCTTACTGTTATGTTGTCTATGCGCCTCGCTCCACTACACAACATTCGAAACATATCTGGACCTGGTAATGATCCCGATTCATTTAACATGGTGGATCCGTCCGAATGAATATGGAACGCTGTCCAGGTACATTTACAAATGTTCTGCAGTGGGGCGATACCTTCCTATCCCTCCAGCTTTTCTTAAACCTCGACGACAAACAAACGACAAAAGCATTGGCGATGGAGGGAGGGAGGGGAAGGAGGGAGGGCAGGCGCACGAGTGAGGAGGTTGTTCTCTGGAATCAGTAACGATTGACTACCGACTTCCCCCGAACACAACGCACCCTCACGACGAGTGTATACAAGCTATCTTTCCGGTTCGTTACGGTCATGATAACGGTGCGTTGTCTCGGGGGAAGACGGTACCACACTCCCACAGTGCAAAATCAAAGTGACATCGAAGTCTTCATATTTACCCTCTTCTCCGAATGGTGCGGAGTTTAAGTTCAAACACATCATTCATGAATTGATTAGCGGATGAAAGTCCATACGATCATGAACACGCTAACGTGCCGCCTGGACAAGGAACGAACGAATGCATGGTAGACTGGGCATTTATTAGATGGAGAGAAATCGAAAAAAGGCGGTAATACCCACGGGCCTAGCTCAGTTGGTACACCGACGAACTGTTGAAATACAGACCCAAGTTCGAATCCAGATACAATCAGCTGACCAGAATAAAACCATTCTCAATTACCTGGGGCTGGTCAGTTCAATGATGATATCTCAAGGCCGTCGCCCTTTTATAAAGAACAAAAAAGGCGGTAATCAAAACGTAAACAGCCTTTCGCCGGGAAATTCATTGGAAAAAAAAAACAAAAAAATTGAACCATACGGAGAGGAAAGATTAGCATAGCTTGGATTTGTGAAAAGGGCAAAAAGAATTTTATAATAAGCAAGGACTTCACCAACAGCAAAACATAACAGGAAAAAAAAAGAAGCCTGTCCAATGAATTACAAAAAACACACAGACGCACACACACAAGAACAGAAGGCTACCTGATAGCCAATGTTGTTTCGGCTGATCTTGGGGCGGTACGTCCTTGAAGATGACGAGGAGCCGTCGCACTCATCGATGGCTTCCCGCCCTACTCCTCCCTCGACAGCCGGCACGCCCAACCCGACGGTGAACTTGACAATGTCTTTGCCGGAGCTTGATTCCCCATCGCCATGGCCGCCGCTGTCCAAGAACTCGTCGTCGCCATATAGACCACCACTTGCTCTTCTCTCTTGACCTCTAACTGACGTACGAGCTCCGCATGACAACGACAAATCTACTCCGATAACCGCCGAAGGAGCCGAAGTCTTTTGGCCCTCATCGGCGTTGTTGCTTTGGCCGGTGGAAGACAAGGAATTCATGCGCAGGATCTCCCGCGTCAAAGAAAAAATTACAAACGGGGCCAGAAATTCACCAGAATTTCAGTACCAAATCGCCTCGGAATTCTGCGGGATTCAAAATTAGTCGCGACCAGTGCATGCGCAGAACTCACAAACGGCGCCGAAGTCCAATAACGGCTTGAACCGTCAGCCTTGTGGAGAATCGTTCTTCCTGTTTTTGTGGAGAGTCGTTCCTCACCTATCCGAAAAAGTCGGTCTTTGCGTTAGCCGGAACCCCACCGGCGGCCTCACGCCATCTCTGACTACCGCTGTTGGGGCGGGGGGCAACATGCAATCCCTTCATTGTGAGGTAACTATGCTTGCAGGGGTCCCCAAAAAAAAAGGTCGGAGCCCGTGCACCTGAGATAAAATAAATAGGCTCTGAAAAGGGGTCCAGATGTCTGGCATGTACCTTGCCGAGCCAGGCCCTAACCTATGGCTGTACCATTAAACTACCAGTACTTGGCCCAGCTGTCATACGGGTCCTTGCCGAGGCTCGAACTACAGGTTGCTACCTTTTTTTTTTTTTTTTTTTTTA